GGACGTGAAAGTAAATCAAAGAAAATACGAAAAAATATAGGCGGGGGTCTAGGCTATTATGGAAATGTTCTATAAGGGATGAAGAACATTTTAATAATAGTCTGAAAGGGGTGACCCGAAGCTTTCGTTTGGTGGTTGTTTCAGCGATACTGATTTTTGTTAAATAAGTTTTTTTATTCCAGAGACACCGTTTTACTACGATCGCCTTTTGTTGCATAAGTTAAACCAAAACATGCGTAAATAACATGTATTTGATTCAAACAATATCAGAAAGCAAACAACTAATAATTCGTTACTCTTAACTGAATGATAGGCTTCCTTGTAGCCATACATAAAACAAACACCCTACAGCTTAACTTTCCGTTACGTTGATTGTTTTCTAAAGAGAATTTCCTGTTCCTCCTCCGATTGTAGCAGCGAACGTTAGTATGACTGCAATCAGCTGCTCATACAGTTCATTACATCAATCAAAGCGCCCCCCGCCGGCCATCGACGATTGTAAAGTGTTTGTAAACAAATTGCTTGTTGGGGTTTTTTGTTGTATAATTCCATCCGGACTTTGAATGGTTTGGTTATATGGGGAAGCTTGCACTCAAGCTAAAAGGAGGAAAATTTTCCTCGTCTCAGAGTTTGTTGTGATTCAAACAACAACACCATAATTTGTGAACCGCCAAAAATTCCACAAATGATCCTAGCAGTTCTTGAAATTTGGGTTACAGCAAGGACAGTGAAATTACCATCGTTTCTATGCTATTGAGCTCGAAAATGCCATATTACTAATGTCACGGAAAATTTGTTTCCCACAAACCGCGAGCAGAGCGTATCATTTCTGCAAAATCAAGCGAGACATCGCACTATTTAATGGAATTGCGGGTAATATCAGCATTCTGATCGTTATCATCATTGAAAGTCCTCAGTGCTCTTGCGTCAGTTGAAAACAAACAAAAAATATACCATCCATCCTGATGATATCGTCGGCATCATTTCGGTCATCATTATAGTCATCCTTCCAAACGCAAAAAAAAAAAAACTGAAGAGTTGCCATTCTAGAGCAACGCTTTTTCTCAGTGTTCTCGGTGTGTTCATAGAGCTTTGGAGTGCTTCCGATAACCCACGTTAGTAGGCGGTGGATTGGCGTACCAAGCATCATCATGGATGGTAGATTATACCGATGGGAAGCTTCATTGTTTTAAGGATTGAATAGACGCGTATGCAGCAAGGACGTTCATTCGCTACAATTGATTGGATGCTTTGTTCGAGAATGGGTCGTAATTTGATTAATTATTTCTCGATACAGACATCGCATAGAATCCTAAGGAAAAAAAAAGTTTATCGAACGGAGAGCTTACGGTACGGTTGGCATAGCAAGTAGATAGATGTTGGTTCTTACTAACCTACTTTGATCAGCACTCAGCTTTAATCTCCATGGTTACGTTGATGTTTTCCCTTATCAGAGCATTTCAGAGCAGTATTCTAACAGGGTTAGTGCTCTCTGAAAATGTGTCATCATAAAAAATTTGCCACCAAATCCTGTCATTTGTTTTGGATGCGCCATCAGCTGGTTATTATCTGACAAATGATTGCTCCGCGGACTATGACTGCCTGGCGTAGTGTAGCATGTGATGTTCACCGTTCGCTCGCGTGATACGTGATGATACGGTTGAGCATATATATATATATTTTTTTTGCTGATGGGGAAGCTGAGCCGGAGGACGAAGAAGAGTACCATATAACGTCATTATTAGCGATTACTCAGCGAGAGGGAAATTTATAATCAAGAATGTAACGTACGTTAGTAGGTTGGATTGAAAAGGATGCAAATATCAATTTAAAACAATTATGGAAATGTTTTATAACCGACAAGAGTGATTGATGATCCAGAAGCTAAGTTAAGCTTTCTTCATTAAGGAGACTTTTAGCCTGAGGCTGGTTCACCTCTGAGGTCCAGAAAGTATTTGAAGGAGGCTTGAGGAACTCATTAATGCAGATACTTTAATGGAAATAAAAACATATTAAAAAAAAAACTTTTTAACACTTTTGAAACTGAATTTCAGGAATAGATGTTAGGTAGAACCATTGAAAGATTTATGCTAAAAAAAATCATTGTGCCAAAATTTGGTCAGAGTAAAGATGGTCTACGAGACACTTTTTTTTTCTAATTGTATATTTGGTTATATAAATATCAACTGTTCAAATCAAAACATTACGGAACCGATAGTTATTAAAACAATCCTACAATTAATTAAAACATTATTATGAACCTTTGTCAGATGGGGGTCATGAAGAGTTCCTCTAGTTCTACTTCTTCTAGGCTTTTTACGCTTCTTTTTCAAAGGTTCTGCCGGCTCTCAACTAGGCAAGACTAGGCAGATTTTCTAATCAAACCTGCACAGTTTGACTGTTTCTGCAACTTGTCTGTCGCAGATATTTTGATCTGCGGCATTCTGGACGTTTTTAGCATTTTATTTAACCGATTCGATCTCACGGCACCATACATGCATCCTACACGAAAATGCCTGCAGTTGCCTGTTGAACTGTGGTCGTTATTTTACCCAGCAAGGTACACACTAATCACTGTAAAAAAATTGGCTGCTACTTTTTGCTATATTTTGAGTAATTGACATTTTTATGCATCACTTTTTTGAGACATTAATGTTAAAAACTTTATAATAAAGCATGATATATAAAGTAATAGGTATTTATTGGATGAGTCAAACCATTTTGATAATTATCAGAGTATAAAACCTATACATTTGATGTATATAGGTGAAAAAAAGGAAAAAACGCTAGTTTATAGGTTAGTTTTCCTAATTGCCCGATATCTCGCTTAATATGAGTCATAGAGTTTCAATGTCTTCGACAACATTTCTCAACACTTCAAATTACACAACCCTGAAAACCATTCGGCTAGGATGCTCAAAAGATAGACTCGAGCGCCACCTATGTGGCGTAAAAATGAACTAATATGAAACTTTCAAAAGATGGCGCTTTTAGTATTGAGCAACTTTGTACAACATTGTATCGCTGTAGAAAGCAAACCAACGGCGCTAGAGGTTTTGGCCACACGAATGGCTTCGCTGCCCCACTATGCGAGCTCATAGAATAACGAAAAAAATTTCGTCCAGCTTTCTCAATGGATAGTGTTCGAAGCTGCGATGGTGTCTGGAGCTCCACATACCCTGGGACGGGACTTGACAATCGGGTAGCGATTTCGAGCCAATTTGCTGTCAAATCCGAGCCAGTTGCTGATTGGTCGATTTGACAGTAGCAATCGTGGAATAAAAAGGACAGAGGGATCACAACAATCTGGCTGGCAGTGATGCCGGAATCAATGTTGACGGCAATGGCGTTGTTAATTGTTTATATTTGCCAAAGGAAAGCTGGAAAATAGGGTCCACGGCGTGCTTCAAGAGATGGATTTTCTTGTTGCTTTTATTGTATTAAGAAAAAATGATGTACAAGGTGCTAAAGTGTGGTAAAAACTCCGAATCAAATTCAAAATAAAATAGAAAAATTATTTTGCAATCCTGGCATCATTGGTCAGCTCCGTCAAACACCATGCACTTATTTTCGACGGGAATTCATCAAAAACATTAAGAAGAGTGAGAAGCTGGATTGTCATGTCCCGTCCCGGCACATACCTAGCTGTTTCAGAAGTTATTCGTAGTTTAAAAAGGGGCTTCCAAGAATGCTTGGATGTGTTTCTAGGGTTTAATTCTTGCAATTCTTTGAGCTTTTGGAGTAACGGAATTTCTTATAATCTAGGGTGCTTCAAAACTCCTCTATGTAAGTGTAAGTGAGATCATTAAAAACTCGGAGATTTGCGGAATTCTTCGAATTCTACGAACATTCACAATTTCGTGTATAGTAACTCCTCTCTAGTGACTCTAGACCAGGCCAGGCCGAAATTTCCAAACTAGCTTTTTCAAATGGCTGTATCTATGTTCAATGCACGTGTTTCTAGCTGCATTTTGTTTATTTATCATTCATTCCGGGCTAAAATTCATAATGATGAAAAAAAAAAATTCAGAATAATATCATTGTTGAGATCCAGAGACCACGTCCGGCCCGCTGCTCTAGAATGAGAAAAAAACGTTAAGAGCTTCTGTAACTGCTGATACTGCAAACATGCAAAAATGCCAGCTATGACTACAATAACTATGACTGGTGTCCCTGATGTCCCTAATGTTGGTCAAATTGTCCCTAATACCAGTATTAGGGACACTTTGACACTCGTACATCAATTTTGAAGGAAAGCATTTTTCGACAATAATTCCTTAACATAAAAAAATATCAAATTGTATTGTCCAGATGACGCATTTTTCTGAGAAAAATTGTAGATCAGGAGATTGGCCTAATCCATTCCACCTATATATTTGATTTTGAAATCATATATATTAGAAGCTTGTATGTATTTTCTAGCTATTTCGGAACTACTTACAGAACTCATGAGACATTAAATCTGTATGACCTCCTGAACCCTATGTAACTCTAGTAAACATTAGGACTCTTGTAAATTTAGAATTTTCTGGAATTCATACAAAAGAACAATAGAACTCCCGAAATATTAGGAACACAAAAAATATTGAAACTCTAGTGACTTCTAAACCTTACTAATACTTTGAAAGCTTTACAAATTCCTTTATGAACTTTAAGAACTGATCTCTTGGAACTCTCGGAACTTCTGGAACTCCAGCAATCTTTCAAAACATCCAGCATCTCTCAAATATCTAATATTTTTTACCGAAGCGCAAAAAATCTTTACAGACGCTTCTGGAGCTCCACCAATTGTGTTGGTACTCTGCAAAATTTAAAAGGCAAGCGTCAGTATCTCAAGAAACTTTTCGATCTCTAGAAACGCTTCAATCAAACGGTCTCTTCGTCGACTTGCTTACACACTTAGAAAAATTCATGTAAATTTAGGTTCTCTGAGACATATACGAGCGTCATTATGACACAAAATTGAGTCATAATAGACGCGAAATTCAGCTCAATCAAACGTACTTTTCGTCGAGTAACGAACTTTTCAGTTTCGAAGCACTTAATTTTACATGGCATGTTTGTTTACGTCTCATCCTTTATGTCAAAGATGGATTCCGTCACGTGTAAAATTAGGTATTTCTAAGTGTGTATGTTTCGGTTTCAGAACACCTTTTTTTTACATGAAATGTTTGTTTACGTTCCAGGATTTACGTCCAGTATGGATTACGTCTCGTGTAAAAGTAGTTTTTTCCTAAGTGTGCAGGAATATTATGAACTACAAGAACTAATGGATGCAACTGTATCAAACCTTTAGACACATGGAAATTCCAAGAAATACCGATACTTTAAATACACCCAAATTTTCTATGGCTACCGAACTTTTAGAACTCTTGCATCATTAAGAACAGCTCCATAAATTCTCAGAATTCTCAGTTCTCCACAATCTTCTCAATTTCCAGCAATCTTTAAGGGCACCCTCATTAGATCCGGATATGACCCGTTGCGGCAAAGTGACAGCTAATCAATTTTCTAACAGTCACATTTATGTCAACGCAAGGCAAACGGATCTAATATAGGTGGACCTTATGACTGCATGATTTGAAGACCTCCAGGATCATTAGGAACCGCAAGAACTCCTTGAACTATGACAAAGACTTCTTGAGAATTTTATGAAATTCCAATCCTACTGGTATTATTCCTGAAAAAAAATTTAATTTTTTCTCGTCAAAAGTAGATCACTAAGATTCTTTAACGGCGGTTGGTTCTAATTCGGATTAAAATTTAAATCTGGAACTTTTAATTGTAATTTACATTTAATATTGGCCTTGAAAAAATGTATTTCCAATATTTCAAATGCGTTCATAAAATAAAAAAAAAATCACGTTTATTCTCAGAGGCTGGAAAGCGAGCTTCAGGTGGTGCACCCCATGCGCTCCCGTTTTCTACATCAAACTGGTCTAGAAAACCTTTGCGATATTTCTAAAATATAGTGCCAAATATTACTGAATCATAGCCTAAAAGGGACAGGCAGAATATAAAACACTGCCCACATTAGATGATAAGAATTTAAAAAATTTTAGCAGTTTTGACACCAGCAGATGAAGAACCTCGACAAGAGCGGTAATTGGAACACTCACGCTGCAAGCACTGAAAACTTACTTCACGAAATATTATAAAAGAAACTTCAAATAAAGATCAAGTCGAAACTACTATACAATTCAGACGAACGAGGCCTCGAATGAGTGGGTGACCCATTTCGAAATGTAAGCTACCCCCATAATGTAGAATATTCAGTGCAATAATGCAGCCTACCGTAACGATCACATTGCCTGTCAGAATCCTATTTATCATACGTACCGAACCGACGTGACTAGCCAAACAACCGTCAGATATAGGTAAACAAAGTCAAACTAACAGCTTGCGGATTGATTGAAATAGGTCGCATAAATAAGTCATGACTGGAACAATTCCACGGCTACCTGGATGAAGGCTCACGTTTCACCTAAGTTCGCTGCTGGAAATGTTGCACGTGCCTACTTAGTCTGTCTATCAACTGCGGGATTGCAAGCAGACATTTGTTTAGTCGATGCTGGGCGCCCTTATCGCGATCCTGTTGTCAAACAAACAACCCCCAGAGGAACGTGCAGAATCGAATGGACTTCTACGACGGTTTCAATCAGAGCTAGCAGACCGAGGCGTCCCGCATGATGAAAGCCTATTCAATTTTCATGATCGATGTTGCAATTATAAAAAGTGTTTTTCCCTGTCGTCAATTTTTTTTCCGGAACGGGTTCCATCTATGAGCATATTCCGTCCACAGAGCGAGCGTAACTATCTCATCTTTTCCACGGCGCCACGGAGATGCAGTTTCACATGTTCTACGTGATGGAATGGTGTGTGGAGCAAGTGGACATTAATGAATAAACTTCTTCCTCCGTGGAAGGGTGAAAGCGAATCCAATGGACTTCCCTTTGGCATCGATACCTTCAACCCGCAGGTACTGATAATAAATTTACTGGAGCGCCACTGTCGAGTATTTATAGCGATGAGAAAAAGGAACAAGTTGGTGTCATTACATTTTTTATATTCATTCCTCCCAGGGACCCGGGATAGACGCTTCGCTTCCACGGTGTCGGTAACAAATGGTATCCTATAAATTAAAAAAGCACAAGGAGAATGCTGCGGGCGAGTGAGAGATACATTCCACCGAACAAATGAACTGTAGCATATAAAAAAAAAACTTGTGCTTTTGAAGCTGAAAATAAAAGCAGAAAAAGTACAACAATCAAAGTGGCATTAATGCAATAATAAAAAAGAGCATTGAAAAATTATTAACGACATAATGTTTCACGTCCTTTTTGCTGCCTTTTTCCCGGTGTGTGTTTTTTGCGCCTCTTACACAAGCATGCTGCGATAGCATCTACCAGCAGCGAAAAGATGCAACCGAGAGCGTTGATAATGGAAAAATATTGTGCACGGGCTACTTTGTTTGTTTGTGCACTCTGAAAGCGAGTGTGTGAGTTAGAACGCAAAAAAGTAACCGAATCGTTTGTTTTATATAAAAAGGATTGCTGACGACGGATTGTTTTGAAATTGCAAATCGCTTGCTATCTGTTCGAATTCAATTGCGATAAAACTATCTGCATTTGTTGTCTGGAAATGGTTCCATTTTATCGGGGTTGGATGGACAAGGAGACGCATGGTTTTCCAAACGAGAGAATGTATGTGTGGGAATTCTATACAATTGAATTTATTGATGACGATTTTATGTTGCTTGCAATGGACATGGCATTGAATCAACTGACATTTTTCCCTTTCATCACAATCTAGGCTACTGGTCGATCGACGCGTTCACCGGCAAATCGTACACTCCACTCGATCCATGACCGCGAGCGTGCTACAATATCCGAGCGCAGTCAGTTGAAATACGCCCGTCGGATGGTCGTTAAACTAGGCAGCGCCGTCATTACCCGAGAGGACGAACACGGACTGGCTTTGGGACGGTTGGCGTCCATTGTCGAACAGGTGGCCGAGTACCACGTGGAGGGACGGGAATGTATCATGGTTACCAGTGGGGCGGTTGCTTTCGGAAAGCAAAAACTAACCCAGGAACTGCTGATGAGCATGTCAATGAGGGAAACTCTATCGCCGACGGATCACACCCGACAGGACGCCGGAACGATGCTGGAACCACGTGCCGCCGCAGCCGTTGGTCAGTCTGGTCTTATGTCGCTGTATGATGCTATGTTTGCGCAGTACGGTATCAAGACGGCTCAGGTTTTGGTAACGGAACCAGACTTCTACAACGAAGAGACTAGGAAAAATCTATTCAGTACCTTGTCAGAATTGATCAGCTTAAATATTGTACCGATCATTAACACGAACGACGCCGTAATGCCCCCGATGTTCATCGTTGATCAAGAAGTTTCCGGAACGGGTAAGAAGAAGGGAATCAAGATCAAGGACAACGATAGTTTGGCAGCACTGCTAGCGGCTGAAATCCATGCTGATCTGCTGATTCTGATGTCGGATGTTGACGGAATCTACAATAAGCCACCATGGGAAGACGGAGCTCGACTGATGCATACGTACACGCAAGCTGACAAGGACCTAATCAAGTTCGGTCAGAAGTCCAAGGTAGGAACAGGTGGAATGGATTCCAAAGTTACGGCGGCAACATGGGCTCTGGATCGTGGAGTGAGTGTCGTCATCTGCAATGGTACACAGGAGAAGGCGATCAAGCATATCCTAACTGGACGAAAGGTGGGAACATTCTTTACAGAATTCACTGCAGAGAAGGCAACACCCGTTGAGCAGATGGCGGAGAATGCTCGCGTGGGCAGTCGAGTGATGCAAAATTTGTCGGCCTCTGATCGAGCACTTTGCGTGAACACTCTGGCCGATTTGCTGATATCAAAGCAATCGTTCATTTTGGAAGCCAATGCTAAAGATTTGGATGAAGCGAAAAAGTCAGGGCTTGCTAAGCCGTTGCTATCGCGATTGTCCCTAACTCCGGCGAAAATCGATAGCTTAGCGATTGGGTTGAAGCAGATTGCCGAGGATAGCCACAAGGTTGGGATTTCGATTTAAAGCATATTTATTTGAAGATTTAATAACTTTCGCTTGTTTTTATTCAGAATGTAGGCCGTGTTCTCCGGAGAACCAAACTAGCGGATGGTCTGGAACTGAAACAAATAACCGTCCCGATCGGAGTACTTCTGGTAATTTTCGAGTCTCGTCCGGATTCACTGCCGCAAGTAGCGGCTCTAGCCATGGCTTCCGGAAACGGGTTACTGCTCAAAGGTGGCAAGGAAGCTTCGCACAGTAACAAAGCCTTGATGGAGCTGGTAAAGGAAGCCCTGGGAGCAGTTGGAGCCACGAACGCCATCTCTTTGGTATCGACTCGAGAGGAGATCACTGATCTTCTGTGTATGGATAAGCACATTGATCTGATTATTCCACGAGGATCAAGCGAGCTAGTTCGAAGCATCCAGCAAAAGTCACAACACATTCCGGTGATGGGACATGCTGAAGGCATCTGTCACGTGTTTGTCGATAAGGATGCCAACCCGGAGAAGGCCCTGAAGATCATTCGCGATTCCAAGTGCGATTACCCTGCTGGTAAGTGATAGTCGCCTGCATAGTAAACGTGAAATAACCCCTTGTTTTCTTTCCTCAACAGCATGTAATGCTATGGAAACACTTCTGATTCACGAGGACCTGCTGGCTGGTAACTTCTTTAACGATGCGTGTAACATGCTCAAGCGAGAGGGAGTTAAAATCAACTCCGGTCCTAAGTTGAATCAACTGTTGACCTTTGGACCGCCGCAAGCGAAATCACTGAAACACGAGTACGGCTCGCTGGAGTGCAGCATCGAAGTGGTGAAGGACTTGGAGGAGGCAATCGATCACGTTCACACATATGGTAGCGGTCACACCGATGTGATCGTTACAGAAAATGGTAGGTTGCTTTTACTATAGTGTGCGCCAACTAGTCATACATGTTGATTATAAATTTCAGATTCGGCCGCTCGTTACTTCCAAAACCATGTGGACAGTGCATGTGTGTTTCATAATGCTAGCAGTCGGTTCGCCGACGGTTTCCGCTTTGGCCTAGGAGCGGAAGTTGGTATATCGACGGCTCGGATCCACGCTCGTGGACCGGTCGGGGTGGAAGGCCTTTTGACGACCAAATGGATTCTGGATGGAGTGGATCACGCTGCGGCTGACTTTAGTGATGGTTCGCGTAAATGGATCCACGAAACGTTGTCAGTAGCCTGACTCATTAATTTATTTAAAATACTCCTTAATAAGCTGAAGTGCCTGTAGCAATGTTAAGCCTCCCTCCCTCCCGATTCGCATATCTGCGCATTAACATTTCGTTTGTTTTCAAGCCAATTTACTTTCCTGTATGTAGAACATACGTACATATCATTTTCATGTGAGAAAAAAGACTCAATAAAAGTTGTTTAATGATAGAGAAAAGTTGTAATTCAATGCGTGAGATGTAATTAAAGCTCGCATTCAGACTGGACGCCGAAACCGAACGGTCGTGTCCGGCGTGTAAATTGAATTAATCATGAAACTGTAAACCGACGGGGAAATAATTAATCTTCCGGATAATTAACGATGGGTAATATTTTATTCAGTTTGAGGGAACTTTCGGGACGATGGCAGCAACCTTTGCAATGTTTGATCGTTGAATAAATCTAGTTGGCATTTGTTGTGAAAGCAGTGTGTGCGTGTGCATTCTAAAACATTTCACAGCCAACTACGTTGGGGGTGAGGATGGGGTAAGAGAATGGATTACGGTATAATGAGAGTTTTAATTGATTCACATCAATTTATAATTGCTTCTGACCGATCATTAGATAACCGATAACAAATTTCAGAACACCCTTGCGAAATGACGCGGAAGTGAGTAATTACAATTTGGGACTATCTAGCATGAACGCTGACCCTTGTTTGAGTTGGATTATTCTGTGCTCATGAATACAGGAATCCTCCGAAGGGTGCGGGAGGTAGTTCAATCTAATCAGCACCAGTGTGCTGTCAGAGATGACAGTAAACAAGATCGGCTCCATTGGTTAGAGGTAATAGAGGTGAGTATAAATTTAAATTACCTAACGCACTTTTCGGGGGATTGAATGGATCTTTGTACTTTGTACGGGGTTGATGACTAAACTTGCAATTAACGAATCTATCAAACTGTGGTTAGAGAATTGATTTTCGACGTTCCCATAACCGTAAATTAAAACCTGTTACTGTTAGGGTAGATGTAATACCATTCACCCCTGCTATAGAATATTGTCGTTTTGTATCCAGAATTTAGCTTACCTATTTCTCAGAAAAAGGGGCTCTGGTAGGCTGTCAGTTAAGACTGTTGTTACCACGAGCGACACCCGGGAAGTCGTATGATGAAGAGCCACTTGCGGTCTTCCTTATGATGACCTAAAATGGATTCGGACGTACATTCATTCGTGAAACGCTGTAGAGGATGTTTGCTGGTATCCATTCCAGATCCACCGGAACCGATGAGTCGACGTACGTTACCAGCAAGGCCATGGGAGGATCTCGCTATAGATTTCTTGCGGCCATTTTTGTTCGTAGTCGTGGATTACTACAGCAGATTTTTCGAAGTTTGCGAAATGACGTCGATCACAGCAGAAGCTACTATTAAAGAATTGACCATCATATTTAGTCGATACGGTATTCCACGGTGCTCCTCTGACCGTTAATATAAAAAATTTAGTTCCATCAAAAGTGAGTATATCAATCGATTCGTTAGATCATGCATCTCTGAAACAAATTTAAAAAAAAATCGTGGTGCGCATTTTCGAGTTACGCTCTTTTAAAGGCGTAACTGCATACATCTTACTAAAAACAGTGAAATGCCATCACATATGCTTATTTTGCATGCAACATGACATGAAATGTCGATTGCAGAGTGTTTATATAATAATTACATGGTTATAATTTGTAACGATTGCTAATTTTTGAAATTAAAAAGGGTTACGGGTACGTTAATTAAAGGCTTAAGTTTTATTTAAATTAACTGTAAACTAATAAACCTAAATTAACTATAAACTAATAAACCTAAATATAATTAATGAATCTCAAAGTGGCTTAGCACAAATGACCACTTTTGTAGTCAACGACAGCACGCAGACGTTTAGATTTGTATATCTTTGATGTTTTCGTGGTCTTGTATCTTTCGCAAGTCAATAAAAAGTAGCTATGAACCGATTCGGACGCCTGCTCGTTGTGCCAACCTAAACCTTGTCCAGTTGCGTTACAAAACTATTTCACGTGAAACTTGGTTATATGGTATTTGGAAGATTTTGGTAGATGTATTCGACAAACTTATTAATACCTTCTTCAAATCCGGGTACAAGTTCGAATGAGAATCATTTCTTGTACGCATTTTGAAAGTGTTTCAGGACCTATAAAAAGTAAGAGTCATTAGTTTTATATCTGCTGATCGTACAACTGTACTGTACTTTACATCAACATAGTTTAGCAAATCTTCGTTTTCTCGGAGAACATCGACAGCATCAAGGAGACTGTGACATGCTCGTCCTGTAAAACCGTATGTTCGCTGTTGATGTCGTACATGAGCCTTTTCGATCCATAAATCTGCGCAGTCTGGACTTTGTTTCTCCACTGCTTGAAAAACCATGTTCACGATCCCAAGTGTCACGTGAAGTGGAGGCGGAGGGCATACCAGCAAAACAGGAGTGCTGTCTTGGCCGAAAACCAGCGGTGGTTTAATGCAGCTAGCATATTTTTTACGAGTTTTTGGAACATGGGTCTTTATTGGAATTTTCTCGAATGTTTCCAATCGTTCGGGGCACTCCACTTTGCAATGCAAGGTTTGATTTTTCTGTTACACAATATGGACAGGGGTGGGTAGATGAATGCGCCATTATTCCAATAATCATGTTAATGATCTTTAAATCACCGACAATAATCGATTCCAAGTGATTCAGCTTCAAAAGACCATTCCAGATTAGATAAATATATTCATATTTTTCGGCAAGATTGGGAGCCAATGCCAAAATATGGAGGCGTTTCACGCCGCTGTCTTTAAAATAATCTGCAGAATTATTTTGGGTTTTGGATACAACAGAGAGAGTGATCTTAAAAAATCCTGAAGCAACTCAGGTATATTATTACAAAATATAACTGGAACATCAGCGCATTGACCAAGATGGACGTGTTCAGCTAGAAAAGAGCATTTTAATTTAGATTTCTTTGAAATATGTACCTTTTTGAGTTTTACCTTTGGCTATTTCTCCTAGCTCTACAATACTAAACAAATCTCCAAGATGTAAGTTCAGTTTGGAAAGTTTTCCTTTTAAGCCAGTTTCAAAGCTCACTCCACCTTGTTTTAAACCTTTCATGATGCCTATAAATCAACTAACCAATAAGCAAATCAAAAGCTTCGGCAAATCCTAAATAAAATATTACCAAGAGTCTTCCGCATGCTCAAGTTATTCTCCGTCTGAACATATCTTCCGTCAGCATGCGTTTCCGTTCTTTCAAAGATACAATAGAATTAGCTTTTAGAAATACGGATGGTTTTCCTCGACGATTTGATAAGCGAATGTTTTCAGAACCTGTATGAATCAAATAAAACGTTAAAGCTACATTCTGAAATACATCAGTTGCTGTTTTACCAGAAGTTGAGACTTTTTCGACTAGAAGCTTTGACACAGCTGCTTCTGATGCCTTTGGTGGAGAATTATTTTCTTTCAGAACTCTTGCTAAATTTTCTGAACGCTCAGTGACAGTACAAACGTGATTCTTCCCTCGTCCGATTTCCGTTAGACAAGTATTACACATGCGTATGACCTCGCGTATGACTTTAGTAGTGTTTAAATTGCTCGGTTTCGAATTACGTTGGTTTTTCTTTCTAGGAACTGTTCCCGGTAGATTTTTACCATACTTTAGCTGGGCAACCTCACAAATTTCACAAGTGCACTTTGAATTTGTTCTCGTACTCTTAGAATAGTTAAACTTGTATTTATGTAGGACCACTTTTCTGCTATTTCCATTTACAGGGCTGCAATAAATCCGACACTTGGCACATATTGAGGACGGATAATACCACTCGCGACATCAATATCGCTTAAGTAATGATTCCTAATCACTTGACGTATTGCACTGGAGATCGGTCTAACGTTTTTTTTTATTTGAAAGGCATAAAATGCACACTTTTTTTTGTTGATTGCGTAATTATCCATGATAAAATTTCAAGCAAAACAAAGCGCGCTGAAACTCACAAAAAGCACGTTTGTCAATAACGTTTGTCAATGCCTACTTGTGTTCTCTAAAAAAACAGCGAGTGTTGCGATTTGTGCATGTAAAATAAGAATACGTGATGGAATTTCCCTGTTTTTATTGAGATTTATGCAGTTACGCCTTTACGCCAGTTACGCCAATTTTTTAAACTCGAAAATGCGCCCTATGATTTTTTTTAAATCTGTTTCAGAGATGCAGAATGATCTAACGAATCGATTGGTATACTCACTTTTCATGGAACTATTTTTTTTATAATAACGGTCAGAGGAGCACCGTGTATTCGGTGAGATAGGCCAAGACTGGCACGAAGAACTTCAAAGATTTCTGTTGACCTATCGCGCTGCAGTACATTCTACAACGGGCTGCTAATGTTTGGTAGAAAACTTCGATCGAAGATTTCGCAATTTGTTACTCGATTTGTGGATGGCGGCACGAGATCGCTATCACACGGAAAAAGAAAAGGGGAAAGAGTACAGTGATAAGAAGCGGAATTCTCGTGTTAGCGAAGTTTCTGTAGGAGATCACGTCTTAACTAAAAGGATGACAATAAGTTGAGTACTAAGTTTATTAACGAGGAATGTATTGTACTTTCAAATCCGTTTCCGCCAAGAAATATCGCAGAAATGAAGCGCATATCAAAAGAGTCCCGGTGCTGAGCTCAGGATTGGAGGTCAGCAGGACGAAGTGTAGTTGATGGAGTTGAGAGTCGAAGCGTAGATAAGGAGTCGAAGAAAAAACGTCAAGAGCCGCCTTGGTTTCATAATTGTAACAAGTACGCTTTTCGATTTAATTATTTATTAATTATTTATTTGCACAGAATTCCTATTATATAATTTTCACATTTAAGTATATTACATGAACGTTCGTTTTTTTACAATTAAGTTCATAAATGTATTCACCGCCAAGGAACGTACGTCCATATATATATACAGTTACACTTGTCATACAAAAACCAACAAGTTCCCGATACGTACAGCTAATTCACTCCATTTGACCCGAATACGCTACCTGTTCGTTAAAGTCCGGGGTTCGAATCCGAACCGTTCTCTCTTATAAAAGAATAACCGAAAATAGATTGGAGCAAGATAGTATACTGAAATTGCATGACAAGGAAAGAGATGTAGCATTGAATGTTCTTGAGAGAAAGATGATGGAAATTGTCGTTTGAAAGGTCGTTGAAT